CAGGACTACCTGTAAAATGAAAATATTTTTTACAGAAAGTCTGTCCCAGCCCATGTGCTTGTGGAGCACTTTGCACCACAATCCCACCCTAATCGCCCTCCCTTGGATGTCCCCATCGTAGCCAGGAACCGCTACTGACTAAAACCGAAGTTGTCTCATTTCACTGAGCACACTGCTATTTTCTAAGGTGTGACTCAGAGCCTTTCAGTTAGGTGTCAGCATGTGCTATTTGCTAGAAATAAAATCAACATTAATTGATTCTGCTTATTTTTTTTGTAAGTTTTTGTCTTTTCCCGCTCCAGGTCACGAGTGAGGTGCGCACAGAGCAGAGCTCAGAGAGACCGGTCTTGGCTGTGTCCGAGGACCTGCTTCTCACAGCAAGGGCTTCACGGGGGGGTTGGTCACTAACAAGCGTGATCCTGGTGGAAGAAGAAGAAAGGCAAACCGTGTGGGGAATCCAGGAGAAAGGGAGAGAAAGGCTGAGCTTGTGGCAAAGGACAGGGGAAACATGAAACGCAGGAAGGAGAAAGAACAGAGAAAGAGACAGAAGACACATATCGCCGACCTCCCAGGGGAAGCGAAGGAGCAGAAAATTCTTCCTTTTGGGTGCTAAGCAGCCTGGCAGGCCTTTCACACTGCCTGCTCAGTGCTCAGCCTCTCGTGCCCATATCAGCCACGGGAATTATTATTAATATTATTATTATTATCATCATTATTTTGTAGAGCCCATCTTTACTCTTTTTCTGTCTGGGTCAACAAAGATCAAGTTGCACCAATGTTTACCCCTAGAAAGCACAACAGTGCTCTTTTACAATATATGAAATTGCAGCAATAACCATAAAGAGTAGTACTCAGCATCTGACAGGATGACTGATGTAAGCTGTCAGCCAATATTTGACTTTCCAGGTGAGATTAGATTTAGCATTAAATTTAATATAAACATAAAGCGTGCAGTACAAGGCACTTATTTAACAGACAATTGCTTAAAGCCTTGTGCAGGCTGGAGGCTACTTAAAGTTTAAGATATCTCTGCTCCTTTCAAGAGCATCATCATATTATCCAGCGGAGTTTTAAAATCCTGATTTTTACTGTGAATCTTATTAGAGAAGGACACAGAAAGGTAAGTTTCTGTTGGTAATTCTTTATTTCCTATTGAAAAAGCGTAGCAAGTTTTCTTCTGGATCAAAGCAAAAGCAGAGAGATTTTACACACAAAAAAAATTCCAAGGCAGTTTGTATTTGGATTTTCTTATAGCTTGCTTACTTTCATTAGATTACCTTTATCCCCTGTGTTTGAATGTGTGTGAGTGTATAATTGCAGGGCGACCTACATGCACGCGTAGCTGCGTCCTTCTGTGTGTGTCTGCCTGTTCTGTGCACGCTGATATCACAAGGCTAGTCCAACAAGCAGAGGAAGGCAGATTGCTGAATTCAAGTTGGAAAGACACCGCAATTTCTTATTAGTGATGAAAATTCAGCACCCCTTACCATAGGCTGCAGTAAGCTCATCATTGCTTGAAGACTGCGCTGAGATCGAGTGACTTTTTGTGGAAGCTTTGCCACATGTTGTGGGGCTTGGTCGGCCTGAAGCATTGAAGGAGTGCATATAGGAGCACCAGACTGAAATCCTGTACCAGACCCTTTGCTTTTTGCAGGCTGGCAAGCTGCAATGCAGTCACACCTTCCTCTTTATGTAGGAAAGGCAGAAAAGGGCAGTGGCTTTTCTCAGAGCTTCTTGAGAGCTACTGCCTCAGTAGGGAAGGCAGTGTGCCTTGACCCCTGTAACATAGGTCATGAGGGCCCAGGCTCACTGGATTTCACCAAAGCGTATTTGGTTTCCCACAGACCAAAAGTGACCTAGGTGAGGAGAGGAGTAAGACCTCCTTGGGTCTCTGAACATATTGAACCACTCAGAGATGGGGATTCTCAGCTGGTCTAAAGTTGGTACTACATTTTCATCGGCAAGTGGCAGGTGTTATTATTTAATTGTCACAATGCGGACCAAAGAAACCAATGTAACTGTTTTAGTATAGATATTTGATTAAACTAAGTATCATGTTGTCTTTAGTAACTGTAACTTGCAAGGATGGCTGAAATGCGAAACTTCACTTGGGCGGTGGAAGATATTTTCAAGGAAACCTTTCTCACTTACATGAACAGCTGGAGGAAAAACATGACGGAAGCGGCGGATAAATTGCAAGCCAAGGTTGATGCCGAAAACTTTGACTATGTTATCCTTTATTTGATGGTGATGATTGGGATGTTCTCCTTCATTATTGTGGCGATCTTGGTGAGTACTGTGAAATCAAAGAGGCGAGAGCACTCCAATGACCCCTATCATCAGTACATCGTTGAGGACTGGGGCGAGAAGTATAAAAATCAGGTTCTGAATCGAGAAGACCTCAAGTGTGTGATCCATGAAAACTTGGGTGCAAAGGACAAAACAAGCCCTGGATCACCCTGACTTTTTGGAAACGTCAGCAATGAAGAAATCATAAAGCCACATGTAGGGAACTCACTGGAATTACAAATAGCTGTGAAACTGTTCATTAAATTAACAGACAGGTCAATGCGGAATGGAGTGCTGAGGAAATCAGCATTACTGTTTCCCATGAGGACTTTGGCACAGCTGCTCGGGGAACACCCAAGAAAAATGCATGATTGTGCTTTGCTTTGATATTCTGCTCTTCAGGAAAATAAAACCAAGAGAATGAATAACTTGACATTTTTTTTAGCATTTTTTAAATCCAGAAGCAGATCTGGATGTTCCCACCTCAGAATAACTGTGAATTAGTGGTCAAAAGTGCTGATTTAGATCCAAACTGTATGACTTAAGCCCATCTTAAAAATAACTTGAAAATGTACAGTAAAATATCAAAATCTCCATCTATTGAGTGAACAATGTGTTTGGTATGAATCATAGGAGGTAACCTATACCTACACACATTCATTCCAAACTGTTTTTTTAATGATCTGGATCCCATTTTTATTTCATTATTCACTGGCAGCAAAGATTGACTCATGGCCTTCTGACAAAGCCTGTTTCATAGCAGAAGAGCTGCTAAACTAGCAGTCTCATCTAGGAGCATGTCCTGGTTGTCCAGGGCAGCTTCCAGAGGTTCATCATCTGTCCTCAAGTCCATAGCTGGCAAAGCTGTCTCTGCTGCTGCTCCTTGGTTCTGCAGAGCAATCTGTCTACCTGGGATGCAAGCTGGGTGATGGAGGCGCTGGTTACATCCCATCAGCCAGGGCTCAGTGTAAACCACTGAGATCCTGCCTTGTGGCTTTCAGAGGAGGGATTTCTACAACCGGCTATCAAGGCTGTCCCAGTGCTATGCTTCCTTAGGGTTTCCCATGTTGGGTACTGGTTTCCACTGGCTGGGAAATGGGTTTTCAAGATGGTTTATCTTCTCCTGTGCTGCTGAAGTATCACAATGCTGGCTCTCAGGGAACGATTAGAAGCAGAACCGGTGACACTTCTATTATTAAAACGTGCTTGCTTTTGTAAGACTCTGGGCTTAGCTCCTATTCATGTTGCCAGACTTAAATCGCTTAAGCTAAAAGTTCCCATGCTGGCTATCGTGTGGGCTTGTTTCTTTTTAGAAAGTTTTGGCTGAAACACTTCAGCCATGTCTGACGCTGCATTTCCGGTAATTTTGTTTTGCTTGTGTTAAAAAGAAATGAAAAAGAAAAGGGCTTCTTTTGTTGGGAAGCTTTGGCTTGTTTTGTAGACTGGTCCTGAGATGCGGCACAGCAGCTGCTGTCATGCCCCAGATGTGCCTTTTGCTGGCATAGTAATAAGCCTTTGAATAATCTCAGTCCATGTGTGCTGGGGAAGGCTTGTCAGGTCCCAGCACTGCCATCTGGTGAGCCTCTCCCCACCCAGCATGCCCCCTTTCCCCCCACCTCCCCGGGTGGCCTGTGGGTGTCTGCCAGCTCCCCCGCTCCTGTCATGGGTGTGCTCCACACCCAGGCTGTGGGACTTTCCTTACCCTCGGGGCCCGCAGGCTGGTACAGCGCAGATAATGTGCTGCACCGAGTGGGTGGAGGCCACCGGGGCCCGGCGCTATGGCCATGCTACGGTCACGGAGAGGCCCTTTTGGCAAGTGCCGGTCGGAGGAGCCCCCCTGCAGAAGTTGCCCAGGTGCACCCGAGCAGCTCTCCCGGTGGCTAGCAGATGGCTGTGAGGCTGCACAGCGAAGCTGAGGACGGGGACCTGCACTGCTTTGCCCTCAGACCTACACCTCTGGGACGTGTGGGAATTGCTTTACCTCAAAACTATTATTTTTTTGGAAGAAACAGGGGGCTACTTTCTGCTCCGGCCGCAGGCAGCGGCCGGGGCACGGCGCGTTTGCGAGAGAGGTGCCCGGGGCAAGGGGAGGCAGGGGGACGCGGCCGCTCTA